TTTCAGGGTATAGAGTTTATGGGGTTTCTTACCTGCTCTAGTTAAGCTGATGTCCAACTGCTCCCCTTTAGGATAAAATACAAAACAAACTTTAAAGCAACTTATCTTTATTTCTGCTTCTACTTTAATTCAATGGATATTTTGATCAAGATATTCTCTTGCTCTTGTACTTGAGATGATTTAATTGTGAACAGACCAATTTCTAAAATATTTACAAACTGATCCTTAATTTTTTTAATGTGATGCTAGGTTTCAGTTATTTGCGATCTTAATTTTCTTGAATTTCGTTTGTTGACTTTCTTTCTTGTCACATTTTTAAAATAGCAATTGAGATGGGAACTATTTTTTGTTTGTAAACAAAAAAAGGACAGAGTTATCTTTATTTCTGAAACAACCCTATATTAAAACTAATTAAACTAAATTCAGCTTTGCTAATTAGTCTACCAGCTTGCAAACATCTAAGTGTGACTGGAGATCTCCACTATTCAGTCAAATCCTAGCATTCCTTTCTACAAGCACACTCTTCTCTTTGGCAATTTTCCTTACTGTTACACAGCCACTCTCTGGGCTTTCAATAGTAGGGCTAAGCCAAGAAATAGCTCATACTGGACACAGAGAGGTAGAATAACAAATCACGTTAAAGTACTATCCATATTTTTAAAGTTACTTTTGTAAAGGTAACATGGCAAATAGAAGGAATACTGGATTTGGTGTCTGAGGAGCTTGAGTCCCTCTTTGCCAATTACCACCCGTAACTAAACAAGTCAGTCTTCCTGAGTCTTAGTTTCCTCATTTGTAAAATATGAGGGCTGAACTGGATGACCTTTAAGATTCCTAGAATTCTAAATCTGTGATCTTCTAATCATATTAGCCTTTTCAGTACTGTAAATAATCAAAGATGAAGATATGTTTACAAATTTAAAAAATAAAACCAACTACTGAAAACAGCCCACTTCTGCAAATGTACTAATCTATTACTGAGATTTTTTTCTTAGTAAACAAATTTACATGTTTCATCATTATACCTCTTTTTTGCCCTTTCTGAGAATTATTTAAGAGTGACTGATGTGTCTTGGAATAAATGGTGGTTGGGGGAGGTGTAAGATAATGTAACATCCCAAATTATGCATACATAAAAACTTGCTGGCTCTTAACCAGAAAGAAGACAGTTGAAGGTGACTTTGTACAAGTAACAGTGATTTAGGGAACAGATTAAAATGCAAACACCTTGGTCACCAACGATAAGCACTTAATAAATGATTGATTGGGCTACTGCAGGAGTTCTTAACCTGATGTCTGTGACTTTGGATGGGGAAAAAAATTAATTTTTATTTCAAAATAATTGGTTTCTTTGCAATCTTATGTATTTTGAAACATTCTTCATAGAAGGGATACATAGACTTCACTAAAATGCCAAAGGACACACATAAAAAGTTAAGAACTCCTAGTCTAGGAACTCATCCTGTGGAGTGAATTCAAGCTACAGAAGATACTAAGGGACCTACTCTAATTCAATGTGGCCTAAATTAATTTCTAGTCTAGAAGTCTTCTAGGTTTTGGGGGCAGTTCAGGGTCTACACTAAGGTAGGACCTGGGATTTTTATCACAACCACAGAATATTTTCATGAGTGTGGTCCTCAACCTCAGAATTAGCAACCTGTGACATAACCCATCAAATTCACTCCAGACTGAAGTAGATTCCAAAACTGTCTTGGGCCTAGGTTAAATGGATTATTTTTTTACAGAAGCGATTTGAGTATTACCTGTCACTACAGAATATCAGCTTGAGAAAAACTGTCAATAATCAACGGAAGATATATGGGACCAAATGAGCAGTTCCTAAATAATTATAATTAGCTAACCTTTAGATAATACCTTAAGATTTACAAAGCACTTTACATGTGCTCTCACTTGGTCTTCCTTACATAAAGTAGGTTCTATTATCTCCATTTTACAGATTAGGAAACTGAGACTGAGAAAAGTTAAGTGACTTACTCAGATTGACACAGTTAGTTGTCTGAAGCAGGATCTGACTTCTTCCTGTTTCCAAATTCAGCACTCTACTACTCCAACTAGCTTGCCACAAGGTAGCAAACAATTCCTAAAATTTTCAACACCCTAATGATGCTAGGGAAATCTTACATGTGGTCCGTTTCCTACCAGACATCCTCCAAAAGTGTAGTCTATATTTACACAACAGATTCACAACATACCTCAATTATAATATACAATTTATTAAAAATTGGGTTTACCTTAGATAACTATTATCAAGTATAAGGACATAATTCAAAAACTCTGCTTCCAATGTTTTGGACAGAGAGCATTATATATGAAACTGTGGCATACTACTTTTGTTTTGAAAATTCCAAAACAATCTAAGAGATAATATATAATCTTAGAGTGACAAAAAAAAGAGTGGTAGGAATTGCTGCTGAGACTAAGAGAATTCCATATAAGTAAAGTGAGTCCCCTACCCTAGGCAGAGAATTTGGATATTTGAAGAATAAAAGATGGATAGGTATAATATCTTCCGAGTTCTTTAGCCACATACCTAGCTTACAGTAGGTGGCCTGGTCACTGAACTTTAAGATGGATAAGTCAAGGTGAGAGAATAAGAGATCTAACCCTCAGGCAAGACTGCTAAAGGAAGGCAACAAAAAAGGAAGAATCCATTTCATGTTACTTGTAACATGTTACTTTCATATGTTTTTGCCATAAAGCTTGAGATTTATTTGGGTTCCTGAACAATTTAATGTTAGAATCCTAGTATGAAAAAAGAAAGGCAGTTCTGAACATTTTCAAATTCTGTCTACTCATTGGAAATATAAATGTAACACTATGAATATACTTAGAGGTTTCCTTTTTGACAGGCATTTTATGTTGTGTATCAAAGGTCCCCTAAACTGTCAGTATTCAATATTCTCACTATTTGGTTATACCTTACTGGGGAAAGAGAGAAAGAGAGAAGGAAAGGAAAGGAGAGAGAGAGAGAGAGAGAGAGAGAGAGAGGGACAGAGACAGAGACAGAGAGAGAGACAGAGAAAGAGAGAGATAAAGAAAGAAGGAAAGAAGGAAAGAAAGAAAGAGAAAGAAAGAAAGAAAGAAAGAAAGAAAGAAAGAAAGAAAGAAAGAAAAGAAAGAAGAAAGAAAGAAAAAGAAAGAAAAAAAGAAAGGAAAAAAGAAAGAAAAAAAGAAAAGAAAGAGTAACCATCACTGTCCTGGGCCTCTATTTCTTTATCTATAAACTAAGGGGATTAAAGTCAGTGAACTTTAAGGGGCCTTCAACCTCTAACATTGTATGACTATGAAAATATTTGTTTGCCTTTGTAAAATGGCTCAAAGAGAGCCCCCTGTCACTTTTTGGTATTTTGGTTAAATGTGAATGGATGAAATTAAATGAATGAAAAAAAAATAATTACTTAAACAGACCCTTTTTTTGTAGATTGCATTTAGTGATAGGTCTACCAATTTGCAACTTAAAATTCTGCAAATTCCATTTAAAAATTCAGAAAAAAACACCTTTACCCAAATGTTTTCATATGAAAACTAAAATTATCAATTTTCAAATTAACAGTTCTTCTGTTTCCTTCCCCATTTCTTCCCACCTCCAGTCCTACCATATGATTTAAAGTCTACAACACAATTAGCAACCACAATTTCCTATAATAAAATGTGGTCTCTTCTCTTGGGATCCTTAAAAACAAGATGCACATCTGAAATACAAATTCTTTTGTAGTTGGTAGGCATTATAGGTCTTAACTTTGTGGCCTCTGAATGCATTTCTCATTGCTATAAAAACTATTTTAATTCGAGATCCTTAATGATGAGATTAATTCGTCCTCTTGCTTTGATTCTCCTAGTCTGTAAGCAATCTAGTTAAACAGCTTCAAAAAGTGCAAAGTGGTTCAGAAAAATTAGTCACACCAGCTGTAAAAATACTTCTACAAGAATGATCAATTTCAAAGCCAGTAATTTCCTTCTAAGATGTTCCTCCTTGGCCACACAGGGTATACTCCTAAGTTAGAGTAGGATTAGTTGCAATATAGGGGGTTTCCTCTCCTAAACACTATCTTTAAAAAGTAAAATGTGAGTGCAATCAAAACGAAAATTAACATACAATTACACAGTTCACAGTCTTATTTAAGTCACATTTTTTTGTGGCAGGAGGGCGGTAAGGTCTGTCTTTAATTTTCCACAGGACCCCTTGCAAGATAGGTCAATAAATTTGAATATATGAAGAAACTTTACTTCCCCCTCAGTCCTTAATTTCATTCATATATCACAATTCTTGGGACCTAAAGAAAGGAGTTCCTCAGGAAAACTGATCTGGAAAATCAGCAGCAGACACAGGAATGTGGGGTCCAGTTCGTGTTTTGACACACAACTCAAATTTACTTGCTATGGTGTCATTCTTATCACGTACTAAAACCATTTTGATGCACCACTTCAAGGTTGAGCATGACCTTAAATCTCAGGCAGTAGAAGGCACCTCCAAACTAGAAAGAACCTCGCAGTACATGGAAACCAAAAAGACCTGAGTTCAAATCATGCATCTGACCCTTTCCACATGACCTTAGGCAAATTCACTTAACCTTCTTGGAACTCAGTTTCCTCATCTGTAAAATAACAGAATTACTAGATAATTGTTATTAAGAGCTAGGAGGGCCTTCTTGAATGTTTATCAATTAACTGCCAACGCAAAGAGTTAGCACAGCATCAGCCCCACTCAGCGTCCTAATCTCGACACACTAGGCCAGACAGGTTATCACACAGAGAAGGTTAATCATTGCTGGAAACTGAGGAGGAACTTCCGGCGAGACCCGCTGCCCCGCCCCTCCCTCCTCCCGGCATCCTTCAGTCCCGGCCAGGACCCCAGCGACCTTCACCCAGGAAGTTCAAGGAGCCGGGCCTGGCCCCTGCACACGGAAAGCTACTCCGGCCTCTTCCCAGCTCCCGGCTCCCTACTTTTCTCTCTCTCTCTTTCTCTCTTCTTCTCTCACCTGCCCACCCGCCGCTCCGCCTCCGGAGGCCGCTGGTCCGACACCTGGCAGAGGAGCCGCCTTCCGACGTCTGCAGCAGGTGATAGTCGTCAGCAACTGAGCATGCGCCCCTTCCCGCGTGTTGGCTCCGCCCCCGGCCATCTGGTCCTGGATGGGATTATTCCAGTCTCCGTGTTTTACCGGGGAGCGTGTCGAAGGTTGCCTAGCTCTTCTGAGAGAGTCCAGTAACCTGGCCTTGAGAAAAGCTTAAAGAAAATGGGAATCCGTGGACTGGATTATACTCGCAGGGATTCTTTCAAAACAGATTCTTTTTATTTATTTTATTTTATTTTTTTGCTAGGCAGTGGAGTTAAGTGACTTGCCCAGGCTCACACAGTAAGTGAACAGATTCCTTTTAAATGGAAGGAGTGGGGAAATCAGCAGCCCCAGGATGAGAATTCCCTAATAAAACAGATTAAGATGTCAGAAAATACCACCTATACCCAGGTGACCTCAGACTGTTCACACTAGGCAAAGTAGTCATTGAACTAGCATTTATTAACTGCTTACTATTTGCTAGGCACTGTGCTAATTGTTAGGGATATAGAGAAGGGTGAAAACAGTCCCTTACCGATAGGATGTCACATTTTAATAGGGAAGATAATAAATACATATAGAGGGAGGGAGGTATGTTCATGTAGCTCTCTCTGTGTAGGTATAGTGTGTTGATACACACAAATATATCTCTATATTACACACATACATATACACACTAGGTTTTAAGATTAAAGGCTTTTGAAACCTTGTACATGTGTGCATGCATGTCTCTTTAATGTGTGCCTATAACAGCTGCATATATAGACACAAATACAACATATTTGCATGTGTAACTGTGCATACGTATATCTATGTCAACATGCATTTATACACAGTCTGCTAGGTGGCACAATGAATAGGTTTGGAGTGAATTCAAGATGTGAATTCAAATTTTGCTTAAGGCATTTTTTAGCTACATGACCTGCTGATATATACAGAGTGGATGGAAGGCAATCCCAGAAGGAAAGACAGAAGCAAGTTAGGACACAAGACAAGACATTTTGCAGAAGAAGGTGGGACTTCAACTATAGATATAGATAGACACATAATATCTATATCTATATATAAACATATACATACATGTATATCTTGTGGGCAGCTAGGTGTTGCTAGTGAAGACTCATCATCCTGAGTTCAAATGTGGCCTTAGACACTTACCAGCTGTGTGACTCTGGGCAAGTCACATAACACTGTTTGCCTCAGTTTTCTGATCTGTAAAAGGTGCTGGAGGACATGGCAAACTACTTGAATATCTTTGCCAAGTAAGCCCCAAATGGAGTCACAGAGTCGGAAATGACTGAACAACAAAAAAAGTGTATATATGCACATGCATACATGTGTATGTGTGTGTGTGGAAAGACAGAGAGTGTTCACTTTTCTTGAGGCCCCTGTGGAAATATCTTAGAAGGAAATTGCTTACTTTAAACTTGACCATACTTGTAGGATTGTTTTTACAACTCATGTGGCTAATTTTTTTGAATCATTTTGCACTTTTTTGAAAGCCATATATGTGTATGTGTGTCAATGCCTCCTGCAGATATATTCTTCACATATATGTGCATATATATGTACATACATACATACATACTTACATACATAGTATATCTGATCAAGGTTGAGAAATCCCAGAGCTACTCCAATCCCTCAGCTTCCTCAAAAACCCAGAGTAATGGAACCTGAGGTAGAAACTTCCTGAAAACGTGGCCAAAAAGGGCTTTGTGTGTCTAGTTTAACCGGGATGGTTTCAGGCCAGCAGAATCAATTTTTTCTGCTCACATCTTAGGGGACTTCGTGGAAGGCCCGAAAATCTTTTCAAATGGTGCCTTTGACTTCATGCCGGTTATGTTTACAGGCTATTTCCTTTCCCCTACCACTTGGGCATTATTGTAGCATTTTTTTCCTCTCCGCTGGTAATATTCCTATTTTTTAAAAAGTACATATTCTGTATTTTATCAAGCCTTCCAACCAACACATTTATTTCTTAGTAGTCTGTGACTTAGGATATTTTAAATTCCAGCACTCCTCATTTTCTCACGTTCAGGGAGTTCTCCTAATGAATAAGGACAAAGAAAAGCCACTTAATTCGGTCTAGGCCAAGAAAATTATTGCCGATTGTAAACGCCAAGCTAGCCGGCCGCAGACCACGTGACCAAGGGGGGTTTTAGCTCCCGGAGGCCCAGAGAGCGCAGGCGCTCTTGTCGCCATCTTTGTTTTGGTTTATCATTGGACCGGTTGCTTCGGCTTCCATGTTTAGTATGGGCGACGGTGATAAAATAAAGGTCCGCCCTTTACAAGGGGGTTTGACGCCCATTTTCGTTTTGGGCAGAGTTCACTGTAGAGCTGTGAGAGGTTTCGTTTTCTGTCGCCATGTTAAGTTCAGGTAATGGCTTCAGAGGTCTGTGGTGCTCTAGTCCCGGGATCACCTGAGATCGAGGCCAAATTTGGCTCACTCGACCCGAGGGCCGGGCTAGCGGGGCTGAGGCACGGAACATACGAGTCCATAAGAGGTTCGGTTGAGAGTCAGTTCTCTAATTTGGGCTTTCACAGCCAAGTGCTAAATGAATGGGGCGGGGGAAGGTAAAAGCTATTTCACTCCCCTTTTCCTGTCCCCCCACTTTCCTCCGGCTTCTTAGGTGAGAAGTTTCTGCTTTATACGTCACGCATTTTTGCCGCCCCAGGGCTTTGCTCTCACTCCTGCTGTGGCTAACGGAGGCCCCTGGTGGATGGGTGTGGTTAGACCTACTAAAGACTCTTTCCCTAACCCTACTTTACCTTACGGTGATGACCCACTAGGGAAGGGAACACAGGCATTTATTAAGCACCTACTGTGTACTAGGGCTTGTGATAAGCACTTTAGAAATATGATCTTATTTAATCCTAATAACATCCCTGGGAGGTAAGTGCTAATATTATATCCCCATTTTACAGTTGAGGAAACTGAGGCAGATAGGTTAAGTGACTTGTCCAGGGTCATACAGCTAGTACGTGCCAGAGGCCAAACTCATTTTCCTGTCCAGGGCTTTATCTCCAGTGCCATGGGTGTGGAGGAAATAATGAGAAAGGTTGGCCCCAATTGTGGAGGCTGCCTTGGTTTTTTTTAGACAAAACTTCTGGGTCCTCTGCCCTACAAAGACCTCTAGGTGAGGGCCCTGGATGGTAATACATTTTTAACGTCCAAGAACGTCTCACCGCCTTATTTACAGATGTGTTCTGATCGGGGAGCTTCTGGAAGTATTTCTTAGGCTTTTTTTTTCATAGCTAGGCTTTTTGATAAGGATTGTCAAAAACCTTTGCAGAAACTGTCTTTTTACATTGCCTGGTAGTGCCTGGTAGGCGCTTAATAAATGTTTGTTGACTGACTGAATATACAAGGATGTATGCCCATTAACCTTAAAATTGGATTGCCCACTCACATTTCAAACTTTAGTTTGGTTTATTGCAGCCCTGGCTAGCTTGTCTCTCCAGCTACTCTGGCTGCCTGCTCCACCCCCCTATTGTTTGTCACTAGATAATTAGAGGATATTAAAGGTAAGATTGAATGGGAGCCTGAACCATTAACTTTATGAAGCAGTGTCTGGAAAACTCCTGTAATGGGTGCACAAGTGTAATTTCTATTAAGATGAAACTACCTGTAGCCATACATACAAGTGTATTCTGCCTAAATATTTCCTACTTAGGGGGTGCTATAAACACAGGTTGTGCTTATATAGGTAGTCCAACCATTTTGGCAGTAAAGGGGGTAAATAATTGATTTCCTTGATTTTCTTGAAAACTCTAAAGTAAACTAAAAATGGCGTTTAATCTCTAGATTGTGCAGTGTTTCTTAACCTTTTTTTTTTTTTGTAACGTGGACCCCTTTGGCAGTCTGGTGAGGATTTGGACCTGTTTTCAGCATAAAATAAAATATATAGGCTTATAATGGAATCCAGTTATATTGAATAAAATTTTCTCCCTTTCTCTCTCTGTTTTTCTCTTTTTCAAGTGCTGGGGATGCAAATGCAAAAGGAAAGAGTATCTGTACTCTTAAGGAATTTGAATTTTAATGTTCAGTTTTGACCCCTTTTGAGGTTTTCTTGGCAAAGATACTGGAATGGTTTGCCATTTCCTTCCCCACCCCATTTTATAGATGAGGAAACTGAGGCAAACAGGGGTAAGTGATTTGCCCAGGGTAACACAGCTAGTGTCCGAAGCCAGATTTGAATACTGGGAGATGAGTCTTTCTGACTCCAGGCCTGGTACTCCATCCACTGCACCACCTAGCTGCCCTTGAACAACAACAACAGCAAAACATCAGGGGTAATCTCAGAAGGAAGGCGTAAAGATGGTGGAATGTTAGCTGGTTCTTGAAGAAGCCAGGGAAGCAGGAAAACAGATAAGGAGAGAGACCATTCCAGGCATGGGGGCAAAATGCAGCCAGTGAAAATGCATGAGGTTGGGCTGTGGAGATGGTGTCCTGTCTGAGAAACATCAAGGAAGTCAGTGTCACATGATAACTGAGTAATGTGAGGGGGGAGTAAGATGTAAGAAAGCTACAAAGATAGGAAGGGGCCAAGTTACAAAATACTTTGAAAGCTAAACAGAAGATTTTGTATTTGATCCTGGAGGTGATAGGGAGCCACTGGAGTTTTATTGGAAGAGTGGGGTGATGTAATAGGAAGATCAGTTTGACAGCTGAGTGGAGGATGGATTGGAGTGGAGAGAGCCTTGAGGCAGGCAGACCCACCAGCAGGCTATTGTTGTAAATGTAGGCATGAAGTGATGAGAGTTTGTACCAGAGTGGTGGCAGTGTCGGGAGAAAAGGGAGCATATTCAAGAGATACTGTGAATGTGGAAATGACAGGACTTGATCACTGATGCGATGATGTGAGGAGTTGAGGATGATGTGTAGGTTGACGCCCTGGGTAACTAAGAGGATGGTGTTAGCCTAGACAGTAATAGAGAAGTTAGGAAGAAGGCAGATTTTCAGAGCAGATTTCTGGAATAATGGCTGAGTTGTTTTGATCATGACTCCAGAACTGGAAGGGGAGGGAAGAGGATGCCTGTGGGTTTTGTAAGACTGCTGGCTAGGATTGAAAAGATGGCTTGAAAGTAGTCTTGCTGAAATAGTGGGTCAGGAGAGACAGTTACCAGTCAGAATTGTGGGTAGTCTGGGGCAGAAGTTTTGGAGATAAAAGGGTCAAAACCATCTGGTCATGGTTTCTGGGCAACAAGGCTACTGAGAGGATGACCACAGAATAGGGAGTAGATTTATGTTACTGGCACTTACATTGTAGTCCAGCCTGTAGTCTGGGCAGCAGGGTGCAGTCTCTGGGTGGGAAAGGAAAAACGTGCTCCAGGTTTTTTTGAACTTCTCATCTGTGACCTTGGGGTGAGTCACTAATCTTTCAGTGCCCCAGGTATCTCTAAGACCCTAAATTGCTGAATAGTTGAAGATTTCCATTGGTAGAGTTTCCTTATTGGGAGTTTAATCTTCCAAAAAAAAAAGTAGAAATACTCAAGATATTTAAAATATAACTTATAAACAAAGGTAATTGGTGTACACCTTAATGAGGTTTTCAATTCACTAGTAATTTATTGCTTGTTAGTATGTCAGTGCTTTAATCATAACACTCAACTGTTCTCAGCATGCCAAATTTTTGCTAAACTCA